ATGGTAAAAGGAATATGTGAAAAATAATAGAAGTACAGACAAGGGATAACGAAAAAACAACAGAATTAATAATAGGGTGTTTTTTATATTATGGCCTGAAAGGACTATCAGAAGTAAACACTATTCGTAACAAGTAAAAGAGAATATGGGAAACTGCCTATTAGTCTTACTAAAGTAATTTATGTATAAAAAAGTCAGTTTGTACAGTCTTAAGCCTTTCCAGCTTCCCACTTTCCACAGGCCAGAGCAGGCAGCATGCTGTCTAAAATCTCATGGAGCCCAAAGGGAATGTGTTAAGCCTGAGCAGTGCTTCTGATACCATCACAACTAATGGTTTTATTTGTTGATCCCACTTTTTAAATTTCCATTGAAAGCTCTGCCTTTGTCTGCAGCTAATCTGGGTACAACCATTTTGGTATCCATCAAGCAGAAAGTTTGCTGAACTGTAGTTTTTCAGTCAGAATTGTGTAAGCTGAATCAGTTGAGATATCTGTGGTGTTGGCTGTTGTTTCTCCTGTTAGTCATGATCCTCTTCAATTAGGGCATGAATAAGATTTTTTCCTCACAAATTGAAATGGATGGTCTGCTGCCGCAGGCGTAAGCTTTAACATTGTCTCATCTCTTCTTAAAACAAGTTATCCATTTGTAAAATGCTGATTTCTTTGGGGCATTCTCCCCATAAATTTCTGTAAAACATCAGTGATTTCACCATTCTTCCACTCAGGCATCACCATAAATTTGATGTTTGTTCTTGCTTCTGTTTTAGCAGAATTCATGTTGCTGTGATAGGGGCTCTTTTCAAACTGCCTTAAATTAGATCCTATACAGACATGTTATAACGAGTTAGTACCAGTTTATCTTGGTGCAAAAAATTTTAAAATCTTTTGTTCTTGCTTCTGTTTTAGCAGAATTCATGTTGCTGTGATAGGGGCTCTTTTCAAACTGATGTCTTATCCTTCTTATTGCCTTAAATTAGATCCTATACAGACATGTTATAACGAGTTAGTACCAGTTTATCTTGGTGCAAAAAATTTTAAAATCTTTACATAGTTTTTTCATAATACACATTTTCCGTGGACCTTTTGAAGACCCTTCGTATGTCAGATGGTGAGAAATGCTAGAGGAAAAATAAAGCAGGGAATAATGGAATGTGATGTTTTGGATAGCAAAAACACAGAAGGCTTCTCTGATAAGATACCAGAAGAATATGAGGTAGTGCGGCGGGGAGACTCCAAGAGCCAAAGTCCTGAGACAGAAGTTTGCCTGCATTTTTGAGGAATGCATGGAAGCTAAGAAGACTGAGTAAATTGGGTGAGGGAGAGAGGAAACATAGTAGGGAAGAAGACAGATCATGGAGGATATTTAGGCCGTAATAAAGTTTTGGAATTTTATTCTGAATAAACAGGGAAGGCACTAGAGAGTTTTGAGCAGTGGGAGGAGAATGAAGTGTACAAGGGCAGAAGCAAGGAGACAATTTAGAAGGGTTTGGTAACAGTCCAGACAAAAGAAGATGGTGGCTTGAACTAGAGTAGTAATGGCAGAGATGGTGAGAAACGTTTTAATTCTAGGTATATGTTTTAAAACCAAAACCAGTGGGATTTGCTCATAGGTTGGATGTGTAGTGTTAACAAGGGAGCTAAGTGAAGGACTAGAGTTTCTATCCTGAAGAGCCAGAAGAATGGAGTTGCCATTCCCAGAAGAACAGGATGAAATGGAGAGAATCAAAAGTTGGATTTGTCCCTATTAAAAGTGAAGGACCTAATTAAATTTCAAGATGGAAATCAGGTAGTGGATGCCTAGGAATATTGCAAGAGAGGCACTTCGTAGGGAAAGAAAATTTGCTTGATTTGTGACATGTTTAAACTGAGAAATTAAATGATATAGGTTGAGAATTGAGGATTTGTATGAGTGGGTATGGCATGAAGGATAAGCAAATATTTTGCTGCATCCATGATGCCATTAGTTGCAATGTGTACTCTTACTTTTTACCATTAAGAAAAAAGAAAACACTGCAAATTAAATTATGATAGGCACGCCAATTACTGAATTGTTAAAATATGGGAGGAAAACCAATCTTAGAATCAATGAAATAGTAGTCAGTGTGTAATTTAGAAGGGCCTGATAGGCTGGGCTAAAAGAATGGGATAGTCCCTGAGGTTAGATTTTAGAATTTGTAGATTTCAGAGGTGCAGCTGTTCCAATCTCAGTTAATACCCTCTAGAAGTTGTACAAGACACACTATATTCCTATTGGGAGAGGGAAGTAGAAAGTGTGTAAGAAGGCCAGAAAGTAGAGTTAAAGTTTTGTGACTAGAAGTCAGGGTATTTTTAGTTGAACAGTTGAAACATTGCTTCAAACATTCCTATCTAAGGTGTTGCACATTTTTAAATTCGAAAATACATCTTTTTCAACAGCCTTAAAGAGTTGCTGAGAGCTAAATTAATTGAATGTGGCTGGAAGGATCAGTTGAAGGCACACTGTAAAGGTAATCAGTTTCATTTAGAAGATAAACTAATTCCATTGCTCTGAACTGGGTTGGTTTGGAGTTCATTAGAAAAAGTTGTAGTTGCTTTTTTAAAGTATATTGAGTGCTCAAGCATAATTTTAAACAAACAGGAGAATTGAATGATGGTTTCCTTCTCTCAGTGCTATATGTTGACCTCATTCTTAAATTTTTGAAAATATTCTTGGTGCATCTCTTAAAACAAATGAGCATGAGCTCAGAATTTTCTCTGGTATCAAAATATGGAATTCCACCTTTTCAGTAACATTAGTATCCCTAATATGTTTGACCTAAAAACAAATTGAGCACTTTACGATTGGCAGACATATCGGAATTATATCTCTCCAGTCTTTAATAGTGTCATTTTGAAAAATTTGTTTATAAAAGGTCTTAGAGAATTAAACTTAAAAATAAATAGAATGGAAGTTTGTTAAACTGCTGGGTATTGGTGATACCGCTTGGTAGATTGTACATGTCACTAAGATGGGCCTTTTTTCTAGTTCAGCTTTTGGTATAACATAATTCTGGATACCTTTAGTGAATCCCCATTGTATTGTAATGGTTTCTACAAATGAAAATAATAGAGACTATTTATACATTAACTGTAAGAAAGCAATGTGACAAAGTAGTAAAAGCAGAGACTTCGTAGTCATACAGACTTTGAAGTCATACAGACTGGTAAAAGACTAGAGCTTATTTCAGCTTGTTTTTGGATGACTTTATTTAATCATTAAATCTCAATCACCTCACCTGTGAAGTGGGAAAAATGCCTATCTCATTAGATTATTGTGATTATTAAATGGTGTAAAGCAGCTAATAGGGAACCAGTAATGGTAATTATATTCCCACTTATATTTCTTTTGGCCCAGCCTAGAAAGAGAAAGGAACAAAGGAATTGTTCTACATTTTAATTTTTGGCTATGAAATTGCAGGTTACACTCAAATAATAGGTTTTTTTCCTCTCCATACATTTAAGAGCTGGTATGATTATAGTGAAATAAGTTTTGTCCAGTTGTAAGTTTTTAACTTTTTACAATTAGATTAGAGCATTACAGTTCAAATT